TAATCGATTAATTCTCTCTGGTACAGAACATCAGCTTTCTTCAACGGCTTTATTTTTTCTCAGCCTATTTAATCCCTCATTCTCATTCATTTCAACACACCTCTTGCACTCCAATATATTTCTTTGAGCTATTCATCCTTTGCTTCATCTTCCTCATCAAAATATTATTTTTGAGAGTTAGAAATATTTTTTCTTTGAGTGCTATAGAAGTTGTCATCCATAGAGCTTAAATCTTTCAACACTACTTTGCTCAATTGTGTGAGCTTTCATTCTTGTGTTGTAAACTCAATCTCATTTGAGTGTTGTTCTTAAGACTTGTGTGACTCAAGTCTTGTTGTTGTAAGAAAGTGAGGCTTGTGTGATTCAAGTTCTCAAGTTGTACCGGTTTTTCAAGCACCCGTTGAAGCTTGAAGATTAGTAGGACTTTCGAGAGAGTCTCTCGGAGGACTGGACTAGCCACGAGGTGGTGAACCAGTATAAATCCCGGTGTTCTTCTTTCCCTTACTCTCCTTACTTTTTCCTGCGATAATTTTTACGAAAAACGTACATTCTTGAAAACAACTCTATTCACCCCCCCTCTAGAGTTGCACTTTTGTCTAACAAATGATCCGAAAATCGTTTTGCTCTGATACCAAAATGTAACACCCCAATCCGTATAACCCAGAATTACACGAATTAAGGTGAAAAGAGAGTTAAATAAAAATTTCACTTGACATTTGAAGATGACAATTTCTTATAAATATTAAATTTACAGACTCTGGATCGCGACCCATTTAAAAATATTTTCAGAGTAATGCGGAAGTACAATATTAATCAAATCATGACACATTTTAAAATCTGATGATCAAACATTTGCCTGCCATCCTTGCATCTCCTCTGGCTCAATGTCCTCCGGGAGTGGTTTCATCATTGTCTTCTTGTTACCTACGTGTACTCAACAAAAATACAAATTACACACTCAGCGAAACCGCTGAGTGGTACCATGCTAGAATTGTAGAATAATTCAGAGACATATACATATATATATATATACATATATATATATATACATACATATATATATATATCTATATATATATATATATAATGTCCACAAAAATGTATATTAAAAATTATGATATGGCACATTATATCATATGGTCAATTTGATGAATCATGATAATAAATATTTAATGATAATTACATGATGGCACATTTAATCAAATTTGCTTGTGAGGATGATTACATGATACTTATGTAATCAATATACTTGTTCTTGATGATGATTACATAACATCTATGTAATCAATGTACTTGATGCATGATTCTAAGACGCAAGGACGAGCCTTGAACTATGAGATTCGCCCATTTGGTACGACGAACTCACGCAGAAATAGGGGTAGTACTTAAGTACCATGTACGTACACTAAGCCCGGTCCGTGATGTCGGACTGCTAAGTCTTGCACAATCACAACTATAAGAGACGCAATTACGCATGATCTCTTACGCATGCACATGATGTGATATGCTTCAATATAAATGATGAAATGAATGACATGATGTGAATAATTTGCAGACAATAAGAATATATAATCATGCATTAGTTTATTTGGATGAAACATGATTAAAATATCATTTAAATAAGTTACGGGGCTCGGAACGGTCGACTGTGAGACGCGACGGTCGACCTTGATCTTCATCTCGTCGGGCTGGTGGAACACCGTGACGGTCGACCGCGGTTGACCGGCGGTCGATCGTTGTTGACTGACTGAGAAAGACGGTCCTCGGCTGGGCGGGCGGCGGTCGACCGTCAGCCACCTGCAGTCGACCGTTTGGCTGACAGTCCTGGTTCGTCTCAAAGTTTAACGCGACGGTCGACCGTTTGCGTCGACCATTTGGGTTTGCGAAAGTTTCTCTTGATATTTTGAGTGTCCAAAATACTTCTTTAAGTCTTTTAAACACCTTTGATTAATATATACATATTGTTGGGTTGATTTCAAATATTTATATATACTTATGTATATATATCAACTTTATGGATTTGGTGTATTTGGTCTTAACACAAAGATAAATTTTTATGTGTATCAAATATATATTTTGGGATGATTTCAACATATGGATTAACATATATGTTCATGTACGTATGTGATGAATGATTCGACAAGTTTAACGCTGTAACGCCCCAAAACCAGGCTTGGTATTTTTAATTAATTTATATAATTAGTTAATTACTAAGTTGGTCAAAATGAAGATTATTTTCTAATTTACGTATTTAATATGAGAGTTGACCTACGTTGTAGGGCTCGAAGTTCTGAACCCGACCGCGTGAACGGATTGCGAATTGGACTTACTAGGCCCAAGATATGACTACCGAATAAGGTAATTGGGCTTAAATACATCCTAACTGGTTAGAGAGTGTAAACTGGACCCTAAAATTCTATTTAATTTTATATTAAATATGAAAGGGGGTTACGAGACTTACCATCCATCCGTTTCTTCCCGTTCGTGTCCCTGCTCTGCGTCTGTTTCTCCTTCGTCGTCCCGTCAGCCAGCAGCAGCAGTGCCGCTGAGCTCCGCCAACGCCGCCGTCGCCGCTCTTCCTTCCCCATCGCACGGTAGATTCGGCTGCAACAGGGAGTGCAGCGGCGAGCTTCTCTCTTTCGATTTGGTTCCTAATTCTTCAATAATTCGAGGTGATTCGTGGTTTCTATACCTTCCGTTAGCGTTAATTCGTAGATTAGAACTTCCTTAACGTATAATTTAGTAATTGATTGTGAATTTGATTGTTAATTGATGAAATTGGTTGGGTTTGAAGAAATTGGGGGTTGAACACCGCCGAATTCCGGTGAGAAGCCGCCGGCGGACGGCGCTAGTCCGGTCAGGGCTCCAGCAGTTGCTTGGGTTGGCTATGGGGGAATTCAATTGGGCCCGATTAGTTTCCATTGGATTCAATTTGGGTCTAATTGGGTTCAATCGGGTCCGTTTGGGTGCAATTGGGTGTAATCGAGTCTGTTGGGACTCAAATTGATGCAATTGGGCTTGTTTGGGGCTGTTTGGGTGGCCAGGAAATACCAAACGGGGCTGCTTGGTCTGGCTTTGGATTTGGGCAGCCGGGGCGGCTACCGGCGGGGTGCCGGGGTTGTTCCGGCGACTATGGGGACT